TTTTGATGCATGTCTATGATCCCGCTGGAGGAACAGAAAAGTTTACTGGCCCTCAATTTTCCGATGATGAATGGAACACTCTAAATGTGCGATTTCTGTATGAGGTATAGTTCATTTTAAGCAATTCTAGTAAATGGGTGTCACTGATTAGGACAAATAGTCTACTTGTGCAATAGCACAAATGGTATGTCTCATTCTTCTGGCCTCCTTTGAGACAGAAAAGAAAGGGGACAGCAATGACCCTGATAAACCTGGAATTGCTACTGTTTAAAAAAGAGCTATTATATAATATACATTATCCAACATGCTATTGACTTGATGCTACTAAATCATGTCTGTATGTTTAGCATTGGCCTATTAATTAAAAATGTATGTCATGCTCAAAAACCTTCTTTATACGAAGAGACACTTCACTAGAATCCCTTCCCCTTTGACTTATTGCTTTCAGAAAAATACATTTTACTCCAGGCCCATAAAGCAGTTTTACCCATTAACAGAGACTTTCTGGGTCTGACTCTTGAACACTAAACTTTGACTTGCTTACAGAGACACAGCTTGAAGAAAGGCCAAGAATATCTGTTCTATCTTGATTTTTTTTTCCAGCTTGCTAACAACTGATACTGACACAAGGTCTGATCAATAAATAACCAATAGTGTAATAACAGTGACTGTAAGTTGCTTCAGGACAACAGCACTTAACAGGAAAAAAAAAAAAAAAGAAATGCAATATATATGAATTAGAAATGCTGAGGATTTCATTAAAATGAATGTAACTGCCTTTTCTTTTTTTTTAAGGCTTTCCAATAAAAGCCTGGATACATTCTGTATATTTTTAGCATTCTTCTTGCAAAGTCACCAGATTTCATCCTTCAGAGCAATAATCGAATATGTACAAGAAATAATCAGGTGATTTAAATTTAACTAAGGCCTTTGCCGTGGAGTTTAGCATAGTAAAAATAGTATGATTTGTGGGAGGCAATTAACAATCATTTGCTCTGTGGATACAAGTAATTTGTTTAAAGAGCACTGACCTATGAGACAGCCAGTTTGTGTTGGCTGTGATGGAAGGGAGCTATTGACTCTAAACAGTGTAACAGCGCCATTGACAGAACCGCATTTGAATGTGCACAAAAGATCTCCCAATACTTGAGGATCTTTCAGAGGGGGACGCAGGGTGGGGGCCAGCCCAGGAGAGCAGCCAAGGCGAGGTCTCCACGCCGAGGGTAGAGCGAGCCAAGCCCAAAAACCTGAGCAATGCCACGAGTGCAGAGGGGTTCCCCCGCTGGGGACGTGCCAGCCGTACCGCGCCACCAACGCCCTGGCAGCGGGGACCCTGAGCCACCAGCAATGGGCTCAGGAGCTCCAAATCCAACGCTCTGCTTCACGCTGGGAATCGTTCTCGTGTTCACATCCAGCAGCAGCGGCACTGCAGGCCTGGGAATGGCCCCATGGGTTGGACATCCACGCGTTCTGCTGGGGACGGGTTGGCGGTCGGATGCCACGGTCCCCTGCAAGGGATCTGCTGCCTCCTGACAATTTGGGGCATTGCCTCAAAGCCAAAGAAGTTGTCAAAATAGGGGCGTGCAACAAAAGCCTTAGGGTGGAAGCAGCCAGCATGAAAAGTTCCAAGGGTCGTGAATAATTTTTTGGAACTGTTTTGGTATGCTCTAGATCAGGCTATGCACCCTTTATTTGCTTGGGAAACTACACAAAACGCAGAGAAAACAGGAAGGCAGTGGCACAAACACACTGTAAACACAATCCTGCTGCTCAGCTGAGAGCAAACCAAGAGAATCTGCAGAGCTTAAAATATGTGTGCAAAGGTGCAATTTTATCTGTAACATAATTTCATTTTGAAGCATACAAATCACAATTTGCCATAATCAAATAAGGCTGCAGTGCTTATATTCTAATTAAAAAATAATCTCTGATATTTAATTTAGAAACCTGGAAGACTGTACCAGCAAAATTATGGCTACCTGCCCCGACCACTCGATTTACCCACAGACAGCAAATTTTTCAAGTAGCACTTTTAAAATTAGTATTAAACAAGCAAACGCTGCACCGCTCGATATGTATTAAAACAAGTATTGTACCCAGTTATTAATTTGCACTATTCACTTTTAAATGCAGCAAATACCTCATTAATTTAATTTTAGGTGCCCACCAGTTTATATTGCATTTTACAGTCTAGAAGGCAATTTACTATTAACTGGCAATTACATACAGAATGATTGTTAATTCTGCTCCTAAGTGCTAGCTGCTTGAAAATTGTTATCTCTCTCTAATTTTTGACCTTCTTACAACAGGGGTGAAGTACACTGGGAATACAAAGGACTAGTAGAGAAGAGCCGGACATGTCATTTGTGACTCATTCTTTTAATTCACCGTGCTAATCAACTGAACTGCCACAATCTCCCAAGGTAATTGTATCTTTATAATAGTTGAAAGCAGCGGGCAAAAAGGCATGGATAGATGGGGAAAGGCCTTGCCTTTGCCTGCTGGGAGCTGGCGTGCTCCTGCTTCTGCGCCGGGCTAATGGGGGCTTTGGAGAAAAATCTGGAACTTTCGCATCTCCCTGCCCTGATGGTTTAATGTCTCAACTTCTGCGCTCACAAAGGCTTTGTGCACCACACTACACTCTTGTTTCATTATTCCGCAGCCTTGTTGCCCTATGGTCCACCTCCTGCCGGGAAGGTTAAATGTTAGAGTGCCAAGCCAGGCTGCAAGCATGGTGGGACACTGATGGGAAACAGATGCCCTGGGGACCCGGCCCCTCCCTCCGCCAGGCTACAGCATTTTCATTTTCTGAAATACAGCAAGGCTTGGCTTCCCTCTCAATGGCAGCTGTAATTTCCAAAGACTATCTTAGCCACCCTATCACTCTGGGATAACGCACAGCAGAAGTTTCTCTGTCAGGCAGGCTCTCGCTTTCTCTCCCTATTTTCTTATCACTGGAATATTGGCTTTTGTTTCCCTCCAAAGGTGTTTTAAATATCTATTCCTGTTAAAATGTTGTTAGTTACATTACTTATTACAATTTCATTCCAGTGGGAGAAGCTCCTGACATTCTCATGATCCTTTTGAGCATCTTTACTTAGAGATAAACACAAAAGACAGCCACAAGAAGGAAAAAAAAAATGGGTTTGTTCTTCCAGTTCCATAAACATACTAGAAAGAGTTCCACTTCTACATTAGAAAGAGCCTCAAAACAACAAAATTAGCCACATTTGCAAAATCTGCACCTCAGAAATCAGTTCAAGACATTACTCTAAAGCAAGTTAGAATTCCAGGCTCTGCCCTGAGAGCCAGACCGTCATCTGGTTCAAATCTGCAGCGCTTCCCTGTGCGCCGTGGAACTGCACCAGCTCCCAACAGCTCAAATATCTGGAACTTGGGCTAAGGCTTTTAATTCATTCATTTTTTATTTTGTTGGACACTTCTTTTAGCTTGTCATACTTGCAGGATACTTGGCTATAGCTTTGCATAAACTTTACACATACATATATATCATATATATGTGTGTGTGTGTGTGTGTGTGTGTATGTGTGGGTATGTATCTATGTTCCTTTATATATATATATATATATATATATATATATATACACACACAAAATATTGTTCATAAGAGCATTTCTAAGCCCACAACAGTGACAGCCCCACCTGTGCTCCCCACTTTTGCAGCAAAACAATTCTGCTTTTTGGGATAAATCATCTGCCTCAAAAGCACCACAGTCACCACCATCCCATTTGGAAGCTCTGGTGAAACCAATCCTAAACATCAAGAAATGCAAATATTCTTGCCTTCCCCAGCTAGCAGTGAGGAACCTAGGTTTGGATGCCAGCATTTTTGCTTAGGTTTTGATTTCTTTGGGAATAGAGAGAATATAGGAATCTCAGGTGCTACCATCACTTAAAAGTTCATTTCAACAATAGACCTTAGGCAGACACAAAAACATACCCAGGATGCATTAACCATTTCAAAAGTCCTCTCTTAAAACTACCCAGGAATGCACTTTTCCCATTAGATCTAAATTAATAGAAACAGTTGCAGTCTAGTGGGAAAATATTCATCAAAATGCACATCATCTGCACATCATCTGCAATCTGCATTATCTACCCAATAAGCAGTGAGGACTCTCCCCGAATCCCTGCAGTCTGTCGAGTAAACAGTTAAGGCTCTTTGTTTTCAAAAGAGAGATTGATTCATCAGATCAAATTTATTACCTAGAATGCTCGTCCAAAAGTACAGTAAATTAAATCACTATTTCTCCCTTTTCCCTCCCTGCACCTCAGTTAAATTCATTGGTAAATGCCAGAAAAACTCTAATACACATTTCAGGTAAAAAGCCAGCAATACTTCATCCCAAAATAAGAATTTTCATATTAAAACCACTGCAAAACCACAAAGTTCCGACTTTTTCTTGTGCTGTTGTAAATTAAAATCAAATGTATTTAAAAGAATTGGCACAAATAAATCATTCCCAAGCTTGTGAGTTTGTATCCCAAGTTTTAGGTCTGAGGGAGTCTTTAGAGACAGATTGTGAACAGGGTTGGATAAAGTCATTTGGATCCAACAACAGCTCCTTGAACCCATGCCTAAAACTTCAACTGAACCTTCAGGGAAGTTCAAGAAGTTTGGATAGATGGCCTGAAAAATATTTTGCATCATGAGCACTTCTTAACTCCTTTTTCTGGCTGGAGGAGAGTAGGAAATACCATTGTTAATCTATTTCTGGCCAATATGAAAACAGGAAGTAACAGAAATCTTGTGAGGGAGCTGGATCCCATGGGACATGGGGACATTTTGAGACCCAAGAGGTTGGATGGGCACCAGAACTCCTGGGTGCCCATATGAACAAGTCTTTTGAGGTCCAGCTACCACCAGTTACACATCCTGCAAGACAAATCCTATTTTTAACAGCATTTTTCATTCCTGTGTAACACAAAAAGACAGGAGCTGTCATCCCAAAAGGAGAATGGAATAACCACACACTTAC